TTATGTGCAGTATGTCCTTAATTATATGTTAAACATTATGATATGTGATTGAATTGTGTTAGGAATTTATACTGTGAGAAGGTTGAGTTATTAACAATGAGTTATGCAGGCGGTTTCTGCTTGGACTTCAGAAGCATGGAAAAGGGGACTGGAGAAACATATCACGGAACTTTGTTATATCGAAAACTCCAACTCAAGTAGCTAGCCATGCCCAAAAGTACTTCCTAAGGCAGAGTTCGGGTGGGAAGGATAAACGAAGACCTAGCATTCACGATATCACCACTGCTAATCTTTCTGATAATGCTATGCCATCAGTTTCAGAAACTGATGAAAAGCCCAAATCACTCTTAGAACACTCGTCTGGCTCATTTCCATTGCTTCAAAAATCGTTCAACGTCATGCCTAAGATGCTACTGGATTGGAGCAACACGAATGGTGAAGCATTCATGGTTTTCGACTCACCTCATGGGCGGCAAAATCTGTACAGTAGTGCCTACCAAGGAGCCTCAGCCTATATAGGATCACATTAGAGTAAGGGTAATACAACTGGTAAACTATCTCTTATGGTTCTTGTGTGGTACATCATCACATATCTCAAGCTCATCAGATTTTAGTCTGTAGACACCAACAGAATGTGAAAACATCTCAATCTTTTGGAGGGTATAATGAATGTATATTTGAATTACGATTTCCTTTTGAGAGTACTCATGATATGATATCTAGTTGTCTAGGTCAATCTGAAGGTTAATTTTTTCGCGTGCTGTTTATAATCCTTAGATGGGTTTCGCGTCTTATGAGAATGAATAAGTCAGTTTCTTCAGCTTCAGAAAATTGATTGAGCATTATATTCTCCAACTTCTCCATTTCCCTACAAGCTAACCAAGTGTTCTAAACAACTTGTCATTCTACAAAATTTCTTAATGCACTTTTCCACAATTAGTAGAACAAAGTGCATGCAATTATCAGAAGCAAAGTGACTAAGATTCCACCAAAACCTGCATCATATTACACTTATTTACACCCCTACTAAATGGAGCAATAAGCATGAATAACACTACTTAATGTAGTAATATGAACAAGGTTCAAACCCGATCTGCGCCTTTTTTTAATCTTTTTCTAATTTATTTTAGGAGTGATAAGCATAACAAGTTAAGAAAAAAAAGAAGAATCTAGACAAGTAGGATAATAAGCCATGTCACACCAAAAAAGTAGTAGCCAAATTAGCTGACTAAAGGGAGGTCACCTTCAAGGGTAATTCCTTTAAAACTGATCGCTTGCTTTTTTGCTCTTATGCTAAATGTAAAAGACGTATCAACCATTCATTAGATTATAGTGGATCAAACATGGCCAAAGTGACCAAACCTCTTCATCAGCATCAATTAGTCATTGGGGTGACTCTGAATTCCACTAACAAACAAAGCACCTTGGTAGTTAATAAATAACCTCTTTACATTATTAAGGACATATGACAAAAAATATCCCAGGTATATTTTACCTTTTTACCAAATAACTATGTGAAAATTAACTCAATAAAATAAATTAAAGGCTACATCTGCAATAACATGTAAGATAATGATCTAGTAGCTTACAAGGCTTTAAATTATCAAATGAAGTATAATTTATACAGAAATATTTTTATAAAGGTAAGCAAAAAGAATCGACTTGAGAAAATGGGTTGAATAAGCAATTGTGCACTCCTTTCTACCCTATCGATAGAATTTTGTTTTTTTATTACTTGTGTATATATAAATGATACAAGTATATATGTTTTTTCACCCGTATGAAAGAATCTTTTACCTTAAAAAGTCCAATATTGATATCATTTTCATGTATTTACGATGAGATATATCAACCACAAACGACATTTAGGAATATTCCTTGTTGAATAGAACGCAATTTTTGAAATGCAAGTAAAAAATATCTGATCTTACAAGTTACACCCCATCTTTTATCGACACAAAAAATGGTTAATGTGAATATCATTCCTTTCTAAATTCTTGAGTTTAATAAAATGTTAATTTAAACATAAGTCGAGTCTACACATTTTTAACACTGTGTTGTGGGAACAAAGCATCTCCATTATCTTCCATTATATAGAATGAGATCTTGACTATTCTTTTCAAATGGTCTATGAAGCTTAATAATAGTTTTAATATTCCATTATCTTATTGATTCCTTCTTTGGGTAGAGAATACTTCAGCTCTTTGAGCTCTGAATTTCTAGTAATGTTATATTCAAGAAATTACAAGGTGCAAATTTAAGATAAGAATTGAATCTTACAACAACTTTCGGCACTAAAAATTAAAATTTCTTTTTACAGAGTAAAAGCAAAATGATTGGGTTGATCCCCCGACAGGATAAAAACATTCGATTTTTTTTTCAAGATTCTTATTTAACTTACTACATGCATGATCAAATTAATTAAAAAATTGTAGATTCATTTGTTGAATTTAAAGGTCATGATTCTTGGAAGAGAATTATGCATGAGTATCACCATAAAAAAGTTTAGGCATAATTCTACGTTTAAAGTAATGGGAAATTATATATATATAATTTCCAAGTACTTGATTAAATTGTTATATTCTAATGATATTAGGCTAATAGAGGGATCAAACAGAATGTGAAGTTTATTTGACTATTGGCAGCTTCCCTCTTTAGTTGAGCGGTTGAAGTTTTATTAACTCTGATCTTCCCATCCCAAAATAATAGACCACCTCGTTATTTTAAGATGTTCTATAATAATGCGCGTAATAAACCAATTTCTAATTATGTCAGTAATTAACTTTTGAATCTCTAATTTCCATATTGATTATACTCTATATTATTTATTCACGTAATTTAATTCAATAAAAAAATTATCGCTCATATAGTCTTATGGTTGGAAGTGAAAATCTAAAGAGAGAGTTAGAGAGATGTAACCAATTCCTTAAAAATGACACTCGATCAAACGTAACGTGATAGGTATGTTTCGAAATGTGTTGCACCTTTCAATAATATTGCATGGATTTTGGGGTTGCTGTTATTGAAGTTGCCATCATAGGGAGTGTATATCATTGCAGCAATATGAATTCCTAATGTTCATACACTTCACTTTTCATGTATGCAGCCAAAATAATATGGTGATTATAACACTCAAAAAAATAGGAGGAAAAAAAAGGGAAAAAGGTATAGACAAAAGATTTGATTTTCTGAAACACAAACTAAGAGATTAAAGTTCCCCAATTTCAAACTGATCCAGTACAGTTTATTCTATTTTTTCTTCAACCTTTTTTTTTTTTTTTTTAAGGTAAAGGACAAATATCCCACATAATTATTTATGGCTCCTTGTTCTTTTAAATAGTTTCATGCAATTGCAAATTGCACATATTATGGGGAAAGAAAAGCATAATCTCACCCATCTTTAAACTTTATTCTAAGATTAATGAACCTTTTTAAAGTAGACTATGACTAAACCATAAAACACACTTAATGGAAAATCTATGATGCTCTTTTTATTCAAAGAATAAATTAACACTAATTTCTCTTTTGATTTTGCTAATCTAGTAGTACTTTTCACATTTGTAAATCACTATAGTTAAAAAAAAATTATAATAATAAAACATTCATTGTGTCATTTGAAATGAACACAGTGAATTAAGTTTAGTTAATGTTAATTATCTATATTAATTAAGTCAACCATTTGAGGTTGGGACTGTGCATCCTGCGTTGCACGTTTTCGAAGCCGACTAATTATGTCCTAATCAAGCACTAATGACAGGATTAGTGTTAGTTCATTGGTCCCAATATCATAGCAACCAATAAGTGGTTGGTTGACTGATAGAATTATAATCTCAGAAAAAAAAAAGGTCAATAATGTAAATGAGGCAGCTAACAAAGAACAATACATACAAAATTGTTGTTGAGAAATAATTGATATTGCTAACCTGGGTACACCCTAAATGTTTCTGTTCCAACAACTTCTGGGTTTGCTTTCAGACAGTCGAGATCAACTCATCAAATTCACAAGTTTCAACAAAGGGTTCCTCAATTCAGCAGGGTTACCCTTGGTCCATATATAATGTCTGCAAAAACAAATAAGTCGAAAACGGTTGAATGATGCAAGATCTGATTGATATACTAAACTCTGAATGCGCATTGCAAATGCACCAAAAACTCGTTCATAGTGTCTGTATTCAGTTAGTTTCCAGTGTCTAACATCAGTCATCTGTCATTAACATCTGTGGGTTTATGACCCTGTTTTTGTTTTTGATTTAGATGCAAGTGAAACTTAGTATGTTCAGTTTCCTGTAGGATATTCATATGCTTTCCTCTAAGTTATTATTTCATAATTTTCTGCCCACTCAGAATTTTGAATCATCCTGTGGGTGATTATATTGAGACATCAGACAAGTCACTTTCTAATACATCAGACAGATTTATTGTGGTAAACCAAACATAAACATATCACAACCTAACAAGGCTATGCAACTAATAACAGACGAATTCAATTTTATGCCATTGATAAACCAAATTAGAGATATGGTTAATATAGGAGAACAGGACAGGTATGACAAACTTTTCTATGCCCTGCTATTTGATTAACTGTTACATGTCTTATGCAGTAAAAACCAGAAAAGAAGAGAATCGAAAAGAAGAACAGTAACTCTACATACGTTCATCTTCAAGGTTACAAAAATGTTCAAATCTAATGGCTTCTCTTACTGGTGGTATAGGAATTATCAACCCCAAACAAAAGAAGCGGAGGAAACTAGAAAGAGCAATAGAAACGAATGAGATAATTTCGACATTTGGGGCTCACCCTTCGTTTCAGAAGCGGAGGCTTAAGTCCAATTCACAGGAGTCGGGGAAAGAAATTGTGGGAGAGAAGACTAAACAAGCTCAACTGCCTAGCCTGTAGGCCTAGGCCGTGTAGCAGATAGAGTCCTCAGTCCCTGCATAAGAAACAAGATGTGAATAAGTTTAAGGCACCTATACTATACATTCCAATTAGAAATTTAAACTTTGTGCAGATTCACAATGCATCAAGTAGGCAAGTATACATCCATATATAGTTAAGGAGTACAATATTTATTCTCAAGGACACCACAAACCTCTGCATTCAATAGGCAAATTTTAACATTTTTGCTCCAAAAAATGCAGCATGCCAAACAATGAGATGGAATACACAGAATACATCGTGTATATGAGAATGAGATCAAGATACTAATAACTACAACAAGAATACAACAGCTCAGAAACAACCTTATTGTCTGCAAAATGTAAAAAATGGTCTCAACAATCAAATTCGTTTTCCAAAGAAAGAAGATGTCAAAACTGTATGAACAAGATGTGGAGCAGAGTGCGTGTAAGCGCAGAAGATCCCTATTGGACAGAAGTGGAACTATATACAGGCTCTAGAGATCTGGCAGAGGTAGCGGGTAAACAGTCGCTGGATGATCTGTTCTCTGTCCAGCAAGCGAGTAATAAGCAACAATGTGGGATGGATGGTCAACCCTTACAGGCTGACCATCATTGTCGGGGTTGGTACTGTATTGATCCCCAGGAATCAGCTCAATGTTCCAATATGGTCGAACCATTTGTACAATATCAACAATGCCTGTTTGAGATGCTCGGTATCCTTGGACCCACATGTACCTCAAAGAAGTCAGTCTTGTTGCAGCAGTAGCAAGTGCATGTTCTGTAAAGCAACAAGCCCTCATTTCAAGCTTCTGAAGGCTAGGGCAGCCCAGAGAGAATTCTAGTAGCCCTGCATCAGTTTCCCCCACATAACCTAGAAGCATCCACCTCACATTTTGACTGAACTGACCAATGTAACCAAGACCAGTGTCAGTCAAACCTCCCTGTCGGAGGTACAATGCAAAGCGTTGCATGTTTTTACAACCCTGTAGAAGAGCCCGGACTCCTTTATCGAGTGGCAAATCAGTTATCGTTTCTTCTCTGTCAAGTAATACAAGTCGGAAATCAGTCAGATTTATCAAGTTTGCACCTACACATTCCAAGGCTTCATTTGTTATGTCAATCACATAAACCGCTAGGTATTCCAGGTCAGGGCATCCCTGTGCTACAGCAATTAATCCCTTCTGTGTAACTAGTTCAGCATCTAATCCTTGGTCATCTGCCCCTCGTTCTATACGAAGTCTCTTCAGTCTCTTGCACGTCAAAGATACAACCTCCAGACCCTGATCACCAATAACATTTGTTGTCTGTTTACAAGAGATAAACAATGAGCACATGAGAAGAATTAGAGCAAGCAAAGAATCTCAAGGTTGCAAGTTCAGATGAAAAATCTGGGTATTAAAACATGGTCACAAGAAATATGAAGACAAGATATATTACTATTACGAAAAATGAGGCAACACTATAGAGAGATAAAATCAACTAAAAGAAGAGAAACTGAAAATTTGTTTTGTTAAAGCATCAAAGGAAAACATGCTTAATGAGAGAAAAATGTAGATTATACCTCCAGAACTTCTAAATTTTGACATCTACGTATCAGGTCACAGTGCCCCTCACTATTAAGTGATGCGTAAACAAGATCCAACCTCAGCAACAAGTGCGCAATTGGATAATATACAGACAAATGACTTTCCACCAAGTACATGGGACCCAATGAGGTCAATTTAGCCGGAAATACAATGTTAGCATACTGGTCTAAATCTTCATTATATGATCCACCAGAAAATTCTTGCAATCTTGTCGCTGTACGGAAAAAGCTTCCAAGATGGACAAGATCAGTATCTCCAATTTTCACAGAGACTAAAGGACATTTACTGGCAAGAAGTTCTAGATCTTGAACCTTGATTTGCTCCAAAAAAGTCATATAGAAGTTCAAAGTTTCAAGAGCTGTGCTGTGTTGAGCAAGCTGGTGAAACCATTCACCGTTGATTTCATCGACACCACTGTCTTCCAGAAACAGTGTTTTCAGGTTCCTACATAGGAGGAAAAGTAAAGTTAATAGCCAAGTAGACATACTAGACACAACCAAGTAAGACATATGTACATAGTTAGCTTCCTGTCCAGTAAAAAAACATAAGCATTCAACATGTATTAAAAACCACATCCTTGAGAAGAAGGAAAATATTGTGAATGATTGTGCATGAATGTAAGCACTTCTATGTAAGAACATCAATATAATAGCAATACCAGGAAGAGGAAGCAAAATCATAACAGGATCAGAAAACAGTCAATCAAATATATTTTAGGCAGAACACTTACAGCTCTACTGTCTACTAGCAAATCCTCTTACCATGAACTCCAGAAAAGAGAGGAGGAAAATGAGTGATTGGATAGATACAAATCCAATTATCTAATACAGTGACACGGAACTCTATCTTAAATTTGGATCTGAATATGAGGACACGACAATCATACAAAATCCAGCCAGTCCAGCCGTGAGAGAAAGGAGAGATAGAAATAAATGAAACTGCATGACAGAAAATACCAGCTGGTGCATAATCCACTGAATTCAACTCGCCTGACAACCACGAATAAAAACCCAAATATGTTGCTTGTTGTTATCAAGGATCTTACCTCAAATTGGCAAATCTAAATTATTTTCATCAAACTCTAAAATTGAAAAATTAAGTCAAGCATGGACTAATTTGGTGGTCAAATAGATACAAATCTTCATGCCTTGCCACCCTCTTGCCCCTCTTTTGCTTGGGGCGTGTAACATTGCAAATTGGAGGATGTGTCGACACCAGCCACCAGTAAATTAATGATTTTTTTTGCTTCTGGTAGCACAATCCATCAGTTACTAATTTATATCTACACCCATCAATAGACGCAATTACAGTCTGCACTCTAGATTAAGTCATTACCCATTGTTCTCTGGTTTAAGCTCTTCATATACTGGGCTTTTCAAGGATCAAACCTATCATTCCTCTAATACACTGATGATATCATCAAATGCTGATCAGACCTATCATTCCTCTAAAGAAAGGGAATAGAAATCACAAAACCTTAGGCATAACCATCAAACAAAATCTGAACAGTAAGTACTCGAGACTAGCCACTCACAAGGTGACTATGGCATTAAGGTTAAATTCTGTATACGATTATCCCAACCTATTAATACATGTTGACCACTAATGAGAACACATTTTACTCACACTACTCAGCATCCACAGTTTAAGTTTCCATCGGACAATTTGATTATTGTCAAACATAACTTCACTTATTCACTCAGAAGCCTCCTCTCACCTCTGCTTAGCCTTTGATAACAGTTACAGTTATAGTATAGGACACAATAACTTTACATGCTCATATGTACAAAAGAAGCTCAAGGCACATCGAGGTGTAAGGATCCCTCAGCGCTTTGTTGCACCTTGTTAGAGTGAGGTGAACTAAATAAATAATTTTTAAAATTGGTGTAAAAAATACAGTTGTGCGTCTTTTTGTGTGTCTCCCCTGCACTCCTGTGAATCTACTTGTTTAGGCCAATAAAAACGCTTGATCCCTATTGTATTGCACATCAGTGCCTAGGCATGCCTTTTTTTAATACAATAAATACTACGAGTACAATGTAAATATGTAATAAGATGCCCTTTGCACAGCAGAAAAGTGATACAGCCACCAAGAGCAACAAAACAAATCCCTTACATTAAGTGTATATTTGTTATTATTAGTTTGTTCCTAACTTAGAGCATTATAGCCTAGTCATACTCTTGTATTGGTGTATATAAACTGATGATTCTAATGGAATCCATGGATAAATCTATTTCATGGTATCAGATTTCTAGGAAAACATCCTTGACCTCTCTCTGTTTTCCCCATTATGCCCATATTTCTCGTCTTCTACCTCTTTTAACCATGAGTGTCAAACTTGTCAAAGCAATCACAATATAATTAACATCCATTTTACGCCTATTAACATAAGAATTCCAAACAATACTAAGACCATTAAACCATTTACAATCCAAAAAAAATGATATTTAGTCCAAAAATACAATCAATCACAATATCAGCCAACATTAAATCTTACTTTATTATAACAAAACATAACATAAACTTGTTTTACATCGACACCACCCGAAATCATCTTGCTCAACACCCCCGGTAGAGTAATAACGTAATTTCAGGTGGTGTTTAGGGAAGAACAAGTTAGCCAAATAGCCCGACTCTTAACAAGTTGATGATATGTAAACTCAAACCCAAGAAATAGGGAAATGGAACATTAGAACCCAATAAAACTACATTATTCCATTACTCTGTATGATAAATAAACAACCAACTATCTTTTCGAAACATAAGGTACTCAAACTTATTGCCTCCACAAAACTAAATAATGAACCATTTCAATTTTCAATATCTCAAAAAAAAAATTAAAAATTTATATACGCTTGTGAACTACGAGTACTTCAGATTCAATCCATTTACTAATTTACTACAAGTAACTAGTAAACAATTATTAATATACTACTCACTGTAAAACAATACGAGCAGACGGTTATGATATACGCAACCCTAACCACATAACATATCGACTTATAGTTAGCACTAGAGACTACGTATATCATTTTCCAAACACGAAACGTAACAAAACAAATTAAATCAAAACTTAATTCAAATAAACATAAAAATAAAAAAATTACCTGCAAGAGTGAGAAATATGCAATAAACCATCAGTAGAAAAGCCAGAACACTTATCCAACTTCAAGGAAATTAAATTACGATTTTTAACAGTAGCAATAAGCTGAAGATCTGAATCCTTAACAATCATACGCCTAAAATGAAGCTTATTAAGACGAGGAAAGCTAGCCAAAATCTGAACCCATGGACCCACATAACCTCCCCAATCATCTGGAATCAAATTATACATTGAAGCTCGTGGTTTTCCTTTCAGCTTCAACGATTCGATGTTCGGAAATCGATCAAGGAGTTGTTGCGGCGTTGTTGTGTAGCACAGAGCAATCGTTACGTGTTTTCTCGTTAATCGATCTAGCTCATACCATTTTCTACACACTGCTGATACTGAAGATCGATCGCGGGAATCTTCGATATATGGTAGGATGCATTCCAGGATTTCATCTGACATACTTCTTCTATTATTATTATTGTGATTATCATTATGATTGTTAACAACATGATTATTATTATTAGTATCCGCCATTTTTGTAGTATAGTATAGCAGAAATTTGTTGAAGATCTGGAAAAAAAAATAGCTGAAATCGAAAAGTATATGAAATTCAATTGAAATTGAATATACAGAAATTAAGATAAAAGTAGAAGAAGAAGATTTGAGAGGAGAGAGAATGGAGGAAAAGCCATAGATTTGGATGATGAAAGTGACTTTAGCTAGTGGTAGTAGAAACACACTAACACTGAAATTAATTTTACTTTTTTTTTTTTTTTTTTTTTTTTTTATAAAGATGATGAAAAATGATGTTAAGTTTCAGGTTTTTTCGCAAAACAATGGGAAGTTTGGAGCGGAAAATGAAGAAAATAAAAGCTGGAATTAATTTTGTCTTAACTATAAAGACGTGGCTCCATTACTCCGTATATAGTTTAATGAGGGGCTTAGGGTGGTCCAATTTTTAATAAATGTACCACTTGTGTCTTAAATATCATTAGATACTCTAATCATATGATATCATATTTTTTGTTTTTACTTTTTATTTTTTATTAAAAGAATTTATTTTCTCTAGAATTATAAGATCTCATATGCATTTTTTCCTAGATTTGTTCTAGTCTGATTTGATGTTTTTCACATCTTAGAATCTATTTGTTTCATCTTATTTTGACTAATTTTTTTTAAAAAAAAAATTAAAAAAATAAGTTAAAAACAATAAGTTTAGAAAAAGTAATGTTTTCAAGAAATTGTAGACACAATTTTATATTATTCAAACAAGTTTGGACATAATATTTTATTTTTATATCAGATGTCCATATGTAAGAGCAAACCAATTTGCTCATTTGGTTGTACTTGTACTTGGTGTATGGAAAAGATAATGTTGTGGTCCAATTTGTCTTACCAGATTATAACAAAGGTGTTTTAATTCATTAAATTTGATAAAATTCTGTGTTAGAGTAAACAGAACATATCTTTAATTAAGGGAAAATGTTCTTACTACTCAAAATTTATTCACAATTTTAAATTAGGGGATTACAATATGTGAAGTAGGCAGTGACCATTGATCAATCAAATGTGGTTCATAATTTAGAAAACTAACAAATATAAAAGTCAACGAATTTATATCATTATTACTGGTGGACCTTTTTTTAACCCTCAATTTTCCTAAATCTGTGCCATTTGGAAAATTATGTCTTTTTTGTGGGAATATTATGTCAGGCACATATATGTATCAATATATTAGTACTCGGTACTGCTTATCAACAATTGTTGACTTATCTAGTAAGGCTCTTGTTTCATATTCTTAAGGTTTGGAGTTTGAACCCTATCAAGTGAGGGTATTTGGTGTAATGATTTTCTTACGCTCTCTTCTACTTCTAAGTATCTGACCCATTAATACTAGATCAAAAAACCGTAATAGTTGAAGTTTGATCATAGTCCTCCTTACCAATACAAAAAAATTAATAAAAAGTATATCAGCTGCATCATGGATTCATGGTGCAAGTAGCTAAGGAGTAGTTGCTACAAGTGGGTGTTAGATTGATTGGATGTTAATAATGTGTCATAAAAGTATAAAACATAATACTCACTATGTATTTTTATTTTCATTTCATATTTAGAAACTGAACAAATTTCATCTAATACTCTATTGCTTCGCTGTATTTAAAAAAATAAATAAATAAAAACCGATACAAAATATGTAGTTTACAATTTTTAATACACTTGTGTGCATCGAAAACTATATAATAAGTGAAATTAACGTGTCATTTGGTTGACAAAGAAAAACGTAAAAGTTAAAAATTTTAAGAATTGATATTCTTTGGAGTTGTTTAGTTGACAAATTCATGAGAAAGTAAAAATTCCCGTATATTTCACTTTCCACAAAATGGAGGTATTTATTAAATTGTGACTCAACATCTAGTAATAGTAATAGGGTTGATTCAAGTTGAAGGTGATAGTTTGGTTCAAGACCTTTCCAACGATAAGTCATCATATGTCCAATTCCGATAAGAAACGAGAAAGTTATGGCCGTTTTATGAAGAACTGACGCTGTTGGAAATATGTTGACGAAGTACGCCACTAGGCACGTCCATGCCTAGTCGAAATTTCAGTTTTTGGGTCCGATTTTAGCTTAATTATTTTAGGGATAATTTCTTAAAATTATATATTTTCTATGACGGCTATTTGAGTATAATTGTGGAATAATGTTAGGTTTTTATTAGGATTTCCTTGTGTTATAAAAGGACCTTTTAGTTGATCAATTAGAATATACCTTTTGAGCCATTAGATTTAGGATTCTTTGTATTATTCTCTCGTTCTTTCTCCGTTATAGTGAAGAAACTCTCGAATTCATCACTCGTTATAATTAGTCCGATCTCAAGTCTCAACTGAACAACAAATAAGAGAGGAGTACATATATGCCTATTAATTTTTTTTCTTCAGTTATAAGTTAAGTTAAAACTTCAAATTTCAACACCCTTTAACGCAATAGGGTTTATACACAAAACGACAAAAAAATGGAGTATGAATTTAGTAAAAAAAAAAAAAAAAAAACAAGAGACAAAAATAGGAACTTGGAATCTCGAGTAAACAGTGGAAGTGAGTTTTTCAATCTTTAAGGTGTAATTATATTTCCATTAAGGAGTACATCATCATTAGTTTTTTTTCACTTGCTGTAATCATAGGTTGACAGCTGTAACGCAACTACTTGTTGACTTATAATCATCTTGTGCTACTCCCATTTTGATTGGACCTCAGCTAGTTGAACTGTTGAAGCCTTAACATTTTGTGTTTTATTAGGATTAAAATATACCGTAGATAGTACAAGTATATTAATGCAAATTATGCAACAATATGTGGAATACTCCATAATTTCATACTTCTAATAGTTAGTACATCTTACATATAATTTGAAATTTAAAGAAACTGTACTATTATTAATTTCCATTGCTAATGACTCCTCCGCATAAAATTTCTTAGATATGGCTAGGTAGTTGAATAAGAATGGGCGCGCTTATATAACTTTACTTAAAAAATAAAAATCCTACATAAATAAAATGAAAGAAGTTTTATTTTATAAATTAAATATTACTCTAATAATACTACGTAATTATCATCGGCAAATGTGAAAATCAAGACGATTCATAAATTGAGATGTAAAGAAAATACTCCACATAATGAACAATTCCGATCCGGGGAGAAAACATTTACGAATTACAAGTACTTTGTACTTGAAAAGAGTTTATTTTAAAGGGTTAATTTATGAAATTGAAAGATTATACATTGTATATTTATACTCCGTATTATACGACAAAAAAGTGGTCATTTGTCAAATACTGCATGTAAATAAACTACATCTTATACTCTAAATTTCTAACTAATGTACTCATGACAATATGACAACCCTCAGTTTTAGTTTTTCCCCCCTAGAAACAGTATTTATAAGTTTATCCAAAAGGAATCTAAAAATAATATAATAAAAATTTTAAATACTCGTATTTCAAACTGTTATGAGCAGTAAAGATTCTCCCAACTTGATTTCCAACCCTATATATTTTTTTGTCACAGGGCATTATAAATAAATTAATTAAACGTACCAAGTTGAAATGAATGTTTGTAAGAAATATTTAAAGTCATCTGTTTGGAAATACTGTAATTACAACAGAGTAATTTTTATAGAATGTACACAAATTACTGTCGCAGCCTCGCAGGGCATTACTGTGATGGATTATTTTATCAAATCTTATTATAGATGGAGTATGTGATTGTATTCCATTATACAGTACCCCGTAATAATTTGACTTTAGCATTATTACTAACTACTTTCTATGTCCCTTAGCTTATTTTTTGCCTCGTAAAATTCTCACAAACAAGTAGACTATAGAGCAAACAAAAAGAGACTGAGAAAGTATAAGTTTTACGAGTATAACTTATCGGTGAATTACAACATTCATATGATGTATTTTTATTTTCTTTTTAAAATATTAATGGTCAAGAATATGAATTTCCAACAAAATCAAATCAAAGAGAAGTACATTACGAGTATTAAACTACGGGTCTGTTCTCTTCAACTTAATTTCAGTTCAGCTCCAATCAGTCCAGTTCATTTCATAATTTTATTCTCTCATAAACAATTCAGTTCAGCTCCAATCAGTTCAATTCAATTCAGCTCAGTTAAAAAACAGGGCATTACGAGGGTTGAATGAGGACGATAATACGACAAGCCGACAACTCACATTGAACAAATTACTTTAGTTCTGAATTACTGATCACTTATACTCGGTAAATTATATCACAATTCAAGTACTAAAAAAAAATGAAGAGATGGATCAATACAAAAACTAGCATGGTGTTTACATCAAGAAGAATAAAATGATGTACTCTACGAGTAGTTGCTCAACAGAAACCTCGGCATATTTCATCAGTATCGTTGTGCACATGCATCACTTAATTGAAACTTGTACGAATTTAGTTTATTTTTGCAAATGACGCCAACAATTTGCCAATTTTCTGCAGAAAACTAAAAAGAGAAGTTCTAGAATTGAAGAAATAGTAAGCCATCTTAATTAAAAATGGTGTCCTAATTAATACTCCGTACAATAGTAGGAAGAAAATGTAAATGTGGGTCAGCTTTATCATCCTAATTTGTATCACAAGTCAACAAATTGTGTTTGCTTAGAATTTAAGCACCCTTTTAATTACGGATTTTATAGGGCCACACCAGCTTTTCTTTACAAAGCATAAAGTGTTCAGTATAAACTGATAATTAATGAAAGCTGAGTCTATAATTAGTGGTTAATCACTTGTTCCCTTCTAGGAACCAAACCACTCAGCAGAGAATTTGCACTACATTTTCTGATATTCTCACTGTTTCTAAATGCATGAATTATTGTCAGTTTAGATCAGTATATGTGTATGTTTGTTACTCTTCATTACTACACTTCTTATATCTTATTTAAGTGCGGCATAGTTTGGAATAATATATACGAAGTATTTTTACACAAAGGACTTTGCTAAAACTTCAATTCTCACTTTTTTAGGTCCATTATTTGCAAAACGGACACATAAAAACAAGAGAAAAGGTGAGGTGATATCCACCTTTAAAACCCTCACATGTTAAGAATTGAATATGAAACATTGGTCTAATATCTAATTAAGGTTACAGTATCGACAAGTGAGTCAAACATTACTTTGTCCGTACATTAACATTTTCTATGTGGATAGATGTTACTTTGTGTGGTTGATAAAGAGTTATAGCCATGATGCATGCTCAAAAATAAAAACTTTTCCTACATAGTACATACATCACTATTTTTTGTCACTATGCTATGTAGGAATAAGGATGTAAGGAATTGAAAAAGTATTAAGCTCGGTTCACTTTGATTATTTTCGTTGTGATTAAAGCAAGGCTGAGATCGAACGTTTGTAACATTGTCTTTTTGTGGTTAATTGAATAGCCCTAATCTTGCTTATCAAATAAAGAGAGAAAGTAGTCATTTTAAAAAGTCCAAATCTTAACTTGGAGTACAACAATTAATTTAGTTGATTAA